TGGAATCCGGGGTCCATTTTACATAATGCTCAATATTAGAAACTCATCTAATATTTGCATTTTATTTCATTGTTTCTAATGATTTAAAAAAATCTCCACCGACTGAGTCATGAAACACTTTGGTCGAAAATTACAATCCATTTTAAGTCCCATTTGCTTCGTGCATATTTTTATTCGCATTATTCCGCCTGTATCGGTTTTATTACGAAATCCATTTAGGTCCAACATCCCGGATTTTCCACCGAAATTTCAGCCATTAATGAAATGGCATTTCCATGCTTAACAAAACTTGCCAGGAACGATTTGGGATTCGAATTTTCTAATAATAACAGTGAAGTTAGTTTAGAATCGATTGGAAAATGATGCTCTTTAAAAGCGAAAATTGAACTGGTTATTTTATCAATATTAACCAATTAATCAGTTTACTGGAAAACAACAATAACGAATCATCCAGGAAAATGTAGAAAGTAGAAATCAAAAATTACTAGAGTTTTTTGCTCTTTGACGCAAGATCAAGCAGTCACCTTGCAAGTCACTGTTTTTTTCCAATATCAATGAATCGTTTACGCAAACTTTAGATATTAATATTCCCTCGATAAAGCACGATAAAATAACAAATTAGTTCCTTTCTAAATGAATTAATTATGCAGCATAAACGTTAACGAGTTTTAATAACATTGACAGTAAAGATGACCTGAAAGAATAACATCATCAGCAGTGCTTTGTTTGCCAATGTTTGAATAATCTGTGAAGAAATCCTCTTGTTTATCTACTGAAAAAAAAAACGTTAATTACCAATGACAGTCAACCTTGTAGATAAATGTACCCGATCTTGAGATAACGCAGGCAAATAAAGGAAAAGTAGGTATTTCGAAACGCTGAAGATGAAATAATATCAATTTGCAACTAAAACTGGAAAATTTGTTAAACCAATCAATCCATTGAATAGGTAGTTCTTTCGCCTCTATTTTTCCCAATCATTCCGGAACAACATAAATTTAGTTGGTCTAAAAATTCTAAACGATGGCGGCTGAAGCCTAAACAATTTAATTTTATAGACTTCTCGATTAATTATTTAGTTTTAAAGCAGAAAATCAAAGAGCCAACTGAACATTTCCATTTTATATGAGAAAAATATTTAACTTGTTCTTCCAGCTGCGCGGATCGTTTTTCTTAATTCGAATGCAAGCCCGGCTTGGGCTAAGCAAATTGAAATTTGCAATGGAAAATAGTCCATTAAAACCGGCACTTACCTGCTGGCAAAGCAAAATTCAATTAGCAAGGGCTCTTGTAAAGCAGGGAACCATAAATATATCAAATAAATCCCCAGGGAATCCAACCAACCACAACATTATTTCTCAGTCGGCCTTATTAAAGTTGCCAGAAAGTATGAGGCGGAGTTGCAAGAGACTGCTGACAATTTGGAAGTTATCGCGTAGAAGACCTTTTTAGGGACTTGATAAAAGGGGGACCGGTGATCGTTTTCCGGGCAATTTTTCCTGAGCGTTGCGAAGCTGCTATTAATAATTGGGTTATGGAGCAATTTGCCATTAGGGCTTTCCAAGAAGTTGGGATTAATTAAAATTTGCTGGACATGGGAACTTGATCATTGCCCTGACTGTTTTAGGCAGCGGAATTCGGTCAGATATCTATTATTAATGAAGATCTCTTTTCCGAAAGGTCAGAATCTCTGATTGATTCTATGAGGGGACTTCTATAGGTGAAAGTAAAAGTTTTGCTCGGTTGCCGTGATAAGGCGAATAATTGTGGCATTGCCAACTTTAATTTATGTTAATTTTTTCTGTCCTTGAAGCGGATTAAGTAATTCTTGTCAAACTATCACCATTATGCTCTAATATTTCTGATTAGCTCATTCAATCTGGTTGATTGGTTGACAGGACAATGAGCGGTTTTATGCTCGCGATAATACAGCGTTTTTCAGGTCGAACTTCCTGGAATAGATAAGAAAAATGATATCTATGAATAGTAAAGCGATAATCCATTGAAACGGTTTTTATTGCGGAAATGACAATGAAATAACATCGTGTTTAAATAGTTGTTCTTAAGCGTCTTGTATGGTTTACCACTATTTTGGCCAGAAATTACCGTTCAATAGAACCATTTGCGGCAATCTAATCTATTTCGCAAAATAAATTATAAGTAACATCGCGAAATAAAATATTTTGCAACATTGTACATGGCCTAGATATTCTCGAAATTGGTGCGATATGGAAACTGATATTATTGCGACGATTGCTTCTATTTTTGGCAAATTTAGACCAAGTAGGGAAAACTGCGCATTTAAATCCTGCTATTGTATGATTAATTTGGCAAAAACTCGACTCTCGACTCCAAAGGGGCGCAAACGTGTTTTGAAACGTTTCGATAAAACACATTTAAAGAAATGAGCTGCTTTTGCATTTGACAGGCTCCTTTCGCGTAAAATTTGCCAATTTTTCACCCGATTTCCAATGTTTTTAAGAACCGACTCGACGGAAAGTTTGCTTGTGAATCTCACAAAAATGCATAAGTGAACTGTCTTTATAATGCTGCGAAAGCCATGTCTTCCAATTACCCCACAGTATGGTTTATGGCCATTGCAAAGCACATGGGCTTGAGCTTTAGGCAATAAACGTTTTATTGCCACTCTCATTGAAACAATTAGCGTACCAACGGAGCGGCATTTTGAACAATTTATGATATGGGGAAAAAAGAAAAAGAAACCGCAAGTTTATAGTATTTAAATTGGTTGGTGGATATTCTTGGATAATTCACTTGCCGCGACAGACAACAGTGTTTTTAGTTACCACCGTTTTTGCTTGTTTTGTTGCGAAAATTAACGTAAAAAATTATTAATTATAAATTTTTTTCCGATTCTGTTCCTCAATTGCTTCCCAATTTGTGTAAGTAGTTTCAGTCACTTCACTTGCATCAAACGGTTTCAGATAAACACTTTGAGTACTGTGAGCTTTGGCGTCAAATGACTTATGAATAGCGCGTTTCCCAAGAAATCCTCCGGTAAATTGCAAAATTGCATTTTCAAAAAAACTTGTTGGCATGTAATTAAGTCATCCATAGTTGTTGCCCCAGTGTTTAATGACCCTTGCAATGCTCAAGACAATAAAACGTTTATGGTCACACTCATTACAAAGAACTCATTTTCAACAATGTATTATGTTCGTGTGTGCAGCCAAGAAAAATTAAATGGCAAGTTTATAGTATGCAAATTGCTTGTTGGCTGTTCTTGGACTTTTCTGGGCTTATATCGTGAGACATGCAACTAACGGTTTTTTAATAATTGAGGAAAATCTAACTTGCATAGTTACTCGGTCGAGTTTAAAATTGAAACTTGTCGTGTTCAAAGTCCTTTTTTTAGAACCTGGGGATTTTTGCCTGCAATACGCTGCGATCGGATGGAAAGTTGAATATCAATTAACATCATTTAAAGTGTATTAAACTCAAGCAAGTGATTTAAAAGTTATTAGAAAAACCCACATTTTTAGCTAAAGAGTAGTAGACATGCCTGTTTTACAAACATTTTCCATATGTAGGCATTCCAAAAAGAGCAAATTGAGGGAACAACTAAATTGCATTCCAACTCCTACCAATCTCCCAACGCACAGATTTGTAGACATTGGAATGTTTATTTAGCATTTCAACAGGCCATCAACAAAACAAACATACATTGGCGACAAAAAAACGAGCATTCAATTAGGCCTTTTGTCATTTATCTGAACTTCCGTTTAAAATCGGAGGGATTTGCTTATTTATTATTAATGAGTAACTAACCGAATATACGCAACACTTGTCCCCATGGATGATCCAATTTTTACAAAAATAAATATAAGCTAACGTTGTATACACATGTGAATTCCTCTATCAATCAAAAAAATTAAAAATAAAATAACTTTGTACAGGAAGTTTACAGTCAATTCGGCTCGTGCTCGTGGCGTTTTGTTTGTGTAATGATAAATTCCATTAAACCGAAAAGGGCCAGAAGAGTTTCGAAACTAATATTAGAAAAATGTGAGAATATTCGTGTGGTAAATATTGACAGGGATATTGCCGAATATTCGGAATGAAGCAATATTTGCTCAGCTAATAGTCGGTGTGGTTAATTTGAAAATTGACATGTTTATCAATGTGGTCTTTGCTCATATTTTGGTGCAATAAAATTGCACGTTCGGACTTGGAAATGTGCTAATCTCAGTCACCCCCTGAAATAATAATAATAATAAGCTGAAAACTGGTTCTAGATGTGCCTGAGACTAGCACATCTGTCCTTACATCCCCATTAATTTATTTCTTAGTTATTCGCCTTTATTAACGTGTAATTTGAACTATCAATGTAGTTGCAATGATGGACATAAGTTCGAAATCGATTTAATACCATATCGTTCAAAAGTGACCCAAAAATGGTTTTTTAGAATGAAAAAACCCGTTTTTCGATTCATTGCTTTTTGAGAGTTTTTAAAACTTGCAGTTTTTATGCAAACAATTGCTGTTGAAAAGTTCAAGCGTTTAAAAAACCTACGTTCAAAAAACACTGTTTTATCCATATTCTCCTAAAGAACGGAAAGGCTGACGTGTCGTCAATACATCGACGAATTTTACGCGATGGTGGATAAAGAAAGAATATTTTATAGGATTTTGCATATTTCATATGAGATTAAAGAGAATGATTTGAGGTGACATAATATAAAGAAAATGGAGCAAAAATTTAAAAATGATTGATGCATTTGACGTGAAATTGGATGAACAGCAAATGTTGGTTCTGTGACTCCTCTTAGTAACCAAGTTGAATTAGCATCTATAGAAGTTAACATCCGAGAAAAATTACACTTGCGGAGACAGAAAACATCCAAAAAAAAAGACTAGAAAAGTTTAAAATTTCCCTAAAACAGAACGAACTGGACGCTAAAACTGCACTAAAGTAGCAAGCAAAAGTTTTGAAAATAAGCTGGAGTGAGATTTGTATTTAGTAGAGAATTTTTTTACAGATCCAAGGAAAATGGCAAGCAAAACTGTACGTTCACAACTTAGTTGCTTGTCCCAATCGTGGCTTGCATCCAACCGCCCCTGAAGATGCAAGCAGATGGTGATAGCGAAACATCAAGCAGAAATTATTTTCTAAAGCGGCCTAAAAGCGAAAAACTGCGTTATTGTGATTAGTAAAAAAAGCACCTGAATGAAATGAGTAATACGCAAAACAGACAGATCCGAAATAGAATGCGTGGGACAGCATGAATATTTTATTAATCATCAGGATGATATGTGTGCAACATTTCGCTATAAAAATGATAAACTGAATGAAATTATCATTATCTACATAAAACATGCCCAGATATATTTCTGTGTGTGATTGAGCCGGTTCAGATAAAAATATTCGCATCACATCTCGATTGTTTGTTCCGGAAAATGGCATTGAGCAGTTGAATAGTGGGAATTTGCTAGATTCAACAATCCACTACAAAGTTATTCGCCAAGTCTGTAAAGTAAATTTATAACATGCGAATTGTTTATGTTGGCTTTCATCGTATTTCATGCGAAAATTGCGAGCGGGAAAACCGATTCATTTCAAATGAAAATTCCAAAGATTCCGGTCATAATTTTCCTTTAGGGAAATTCTAATTGGATATTTAGGGAAGCCGTACGATCGATTGTTGATTTGTGGAACTTTTTCTTGCAATTAGAGTTTGATACCGCTTCATCTGGAGTTTATCAATTAATCACATTGAGTTTGCTAAGCATTTTTCGCTCACCTGAGTGTATCCTGCCCTTATAAGATCTTGTCCTTCCCTGTTGGTACCTTCGTCATGTCTCAGCATGGCACGCTCGACTCTGGCGAGTGTGGGTGAGTCCATGAGTCGCGGATGGTGTTGGTACTGAGCACTCTGAGTACCATTTCTGAGTCGCGAAGTGGTACCGTGGGCCGAGTGGCCGTTGGCGTTCGAGTGTTCAGTTTGCAGTAACATTTTCCTGGAAGAAAATTAACATTGAAGTCCTTTATCATGAGGGGATCAGTTTTCTTAATATAATTGTGTTTTTTGTCGTTTGTACTCTATACAGGGTGGTAAAAATTTCAACCAGTTTACCAGTTTTGCAGTGCGAAGTATGAAAAATATTTACAAAAGTTGGTCAAAAGTGGTTTGCTGTCGCGACACGTGCTGAAAGTGGAAACTTATTCTGAGATTTTTGGCTGTTGCGCAAATTTTATGGCTTCTATTTCGCAATAATGAATTCACCAAACTAACAGAAGTTCGTATATTCTATGAGTTGTAAATTGAAAAACCAGTAGTAATATATAGCTCGAGTTGGAATTAATACAAATTTATTTACTTGCTTTCTATTAAATTGTGTGTACAGTTATTAACAAATATTGGTTTGGTGTGTTCGATGTTAGCATGTGAGGTGCTAAAAGCTCGTACGACACTTTAATATAAAAATAGATTATTGAAATACATTTTGACCCATCAAAGGCGAAATAATCGCGTGTTTTAAGCGGTTTTCGAGCGTTCGTTATCTTGAACCGACGATATACTTCTTGGCGTACACGCAAACACTTGGTATATGCATATTGGAGGGCTTATTAGGTCGAACAGAAACCATTAAGCTCAAAAAACATGCATGCGATATTTTGAGTTTTGATCGAAAATTTCATAGGGTCTATTTTTTGAAAAAATGTATGTCTTAAAATGTTTGAATTCTGCATAATTTTCGTCCAAGGAAAGCGAGGAAGCCAACGAGCCTATGGAAAAACACGCTAGAAGCTTCAGATTCGAAATAATCGATATTTTTTATTCATTTTAAGCAGTTTTTGGCGGTTACTACCTTTAGCCGACATAATATTTCTTATTATTGACCAAAACCGTTTGTATGTGGATATAAGGAAGCTTCTGGCGTCGAAAACAAACCATTAATCTCCAAAAACACGCATGTGAAAATTTGATTTTTAATGAAAAATTTATAAAGGAGTTTAGGTCGATTTTCAACATCAAGTCTCTAAAAATGCTTCGAAGTCTACATCATTTTCGGTCCAAGGGAAGCGAGGATTTCAATGAGCTCATGGAAAAACACACTAAACGCTTCAGCTCCGAAATAATCAACATTTTCGACCAATTTTAAACCGTTTTTGAGCAGTAGCGATCTTTTCCGGACCATATTTTTCTTATTATCGGTCCAAACAGTTTTTATATGCCCATGGAGGAGCTTCTGCGGTCAAAAACAAATCATTGAACTCAAAAAACGCGAATGTAAAATTTTTATTTATGATCCAAAATTTCACAAGGGCTTGAGGTCGATTTTTTCAAAAAATATGGAATCTTTTACAATGCCTCAAATTTTACATGGATTACATTAAACGCGTTTATGGAATGCAATCCGCTTATTGAAAAACCTGCTTGAAGCTTCAGATTCGACATAATCGACATTTTCGGCCCATTTTGCTCAGTTTTTGAGCGGTCACGATTTTTAACCGCCCATATTTTTGTTATAATTGATCCAAGCAGTTTTTAAATGCATATTGGAACGCTGATGAAGTCCCAAATTAACGATTGAGCTCAAAAAACACGTATGTAAAAATTTTATTTTTGATAAAAAATTTCATAAAGCGATAAAGTCGATTTTTCCAGAAAAATATGAAGTCTCAAATTATACACCATTTTCGTCCAGGAAAACGAGGAATGGAAGAAGTTCATTGAATGAAAGCCTCAGAGCAAAAATAATCCCGGCCTCGGTCTTTAGCCAAAGATTTTTATAACAAAATCTATATATTGAGTTCGAAAAATGAGCACGCGTTAAAGTCGATTTTTGGCAATTTCCGCTAGTTGAACTGGTGTTTAAAAAAAAACTCAAATTTCTCGAAATATCTCGAATTCTATACCATTTTTCTGACAAGAAATCATACAAATGAACATACATGTAAGGGCAGAAGACCGATTGGGCTGATAGCTTTTGCCGTAAGAAATAATGATTATTTCTATAAATGCAAAAATTAAATCGTTGGCTCTAACAGCTTGAAAGCGCGATTAACTGGAGAAATCATGCAAGTATGTAAGGGGATTTACATAAATGTTAAGTATGTACTTTAAAGTACGGTGACTGGAAAAGAAAATTCGTGCCTGTTAACAATGTAATTACATTTTAAAGTAAATCGGCATAAGATGGCATATCTTTGCACTGCAAAATGAGCTGGAAACATTAACCGACCAGGAATTATTCAGCTTGTCTTCAATTTGTCTTCGTGAAACGATAGCAAGCAGAAGCACTTAGTAGAAAGTGATTTATTCGAAATATGTACTCATTAACGTCGAACAACAGAAAAACATGACCATGCTGCCTTATCTCCAAGCCTGTTGACATTGGAACGAAAATTTATGAAGAACATGTTTAATGCATAAATCTTGTTCCAGTAATGTTTTTTCTGCAACTGCTAGAATGTAAAGATAAATTGTGGTAGCGTGTGTGTTAACAGGATTTTTATTAAATCAACCTGCCGCTCACATGACTTTTTACAGAACGAAGAGTCACCTTTTTCAAAGGCAGATGTTGAGTTAGTGTATGAAAAATTGAAGTGAAGGGTTTTGGTTAAAAAAAAGTGAAAACTTACCAACTACCACAAATAGTCTTTTCCCACTAGTCGACTATAGTCCAACGAAAAAATCGAGCCAGCAAGCCACAACACGTAGATGTAGTCCGTTAGTCAAACCATGTGGCCAAATCCAAGTGAAAAAAAAACAAGACAACCACGTTGTCTTCCTTGCGAATGATCAAGGAAGCGTGCCACGACCTGCTACGATTTGGAGAGAACTAACAATTTAGCGTCGAGGAGCGCGATCGCCGACTTCACTTGTTTCGCGACGTCGACGTCGCGAATCGTCAAGTGGTCGAGGCGCACGCAATTCAAGATCTACAAATTCTACATTCAACTGTTGTTAGTCTCGATTGAGTTTTAATTTGATTAATAATTACTTCAAAAGTATAACACACGAATGTTTGGAAATCCATTCAATTTTGTTTTGATACGCCGTTTAAGTTTCAAAGCTTTTGGCACGAGTTTTGTTTATTTTGATAAAAATTTGAATAACCTACTTCAGTTTTATTTGAGCTTTTCGTTTAGAGTTAAAAACCCATTTTAAATGTGTCAAATTCAAATAGATTCACATCAGACGTTCGCAGCCGTCTGGCACATTAATCCAGAGGAAAATTCAGCTTTCGAATAGCAAAATAAGCGACTGGCACGGACATTTTCGAAATCCTATTTGAGAAACGGATTTAGCCACACGAGCACCTTGGCAAATGTAAAACTTTTCCCTGTTTTCCCTCGGGATTTGTCCGAGTGAATTCCGAATGGTTGGATGTAAAAATGGGAAAAGCCTGTTCCAGGCAAAAAGCCCACATAATGGATATATTGTTTATCTTGGTCGGATTGCTAAAGTGTCCCGACTATATTTCTTGATTAGGTTTAGGAAATCTTCCAAATAATTCTATTGCAGCAAATGGTTGAGAGTTGGAAAATGTGTTTTTGGTCGAGTGGAGTTTGGAAGATTTTTTGCATTTAGGTCAGTGTCGCTCCTGAAAGGCTCGACTAAACTCTACTAAATGTTTCTTGGACTGCTGTCTGCTAATCTCTTTGTTTGACTAAATGAACGCATGAAATAACCGCAAAAACGTCGACAAAATTACAAAAAACGTGTTAAAAACTGCTTTTCTTGTACCTGTGGCAGAATGGGCCCCCGGCCAAGTTACACCCACCAATTACATGCCAGCTTTCTTTTCCTAATATTGACATTAAAATCTAAACATAACTGAAATTCAAAGGCATTACATGATATTAAATATGTTCAAACATATTAATTTGGCACGGTAGAAAGCTCATTACGCTGAACTATAGATAATAGCAGCTAGGCGTTTTACAGGTACAACACATGATGTTGCTTTACGTCCAGTTGTCGGTATTCTGGGTCATACACATGCATATTTATTTTATGTCTACTTATAAGCTATTTAAGTACTTACGAGTGCTTAGAGCAACTGGACAGCATTTTTCACAGCGGACAGCACGACTAAATTAGAAATTTAAGGGAAATTGCGCTTGTTGGATTTTATTAAGCGTAATTTGGCTACGGGAATACTAATTAGATTTCCCCCAAAAATAAATCCCTTGCCTATGGCTAGCTATAAAGAAACTGTCCGATATTAGCTTGCATAAGGGCCGACAGGAAAGACAATTCGATTTGGGTAAATGAAAAACTGTCTCTTAAAAGTAAGAGCTTTTCGTTGTATCTATCATTGAAGAAAGTCGAAAATTGTTCATCCAGTAACCAAAAAAAATATATCAATCTCACGCCGCAAACTTTCCTTTATTGATTGCACTTTTCTACTGTTAAACATTTTGCAAACATGGGCTGAAGTTCATATTGGGTCAAAAGGCGCGAGAGCGAAAGTTTCCATGTTTGAATTAATTTTCAAACGCGCAATTGCAATTGAACTTTTGAAGGCAGAAGCTGGAAACTTTCATTTCCTGCAGCTTCGATAGACAAATTTTCCAAGAGCGAGTTTCCAATGTTTTACTTTTGTTGCATATAACGTTTCAGTTCTGAGTTCTGCCACTGCAGGGATTATTTAATGGAACAATTTTACGCTCCCCAAGTGTCTATTTTTTGTTATAGACGACTAGAAAACTAAAAATAATGCAAAATACAGTTAAAAAATACAGAAAAGGAAAAATACTTTGGTTTACTTTAGTCGATTTATTATGCCTGCAACAAAATAATTAATTGAGCTATTTTTTCTTGATTTGCGCTAGCACTCATCTTTCATCGCACGCTTTATCTGCAATAATTCTCAATCCTCCAAGCTACTTCAAGTGCTTCGGAAGCTGCTGCCTCCAAAACTCCTGCCTTGCATTCAAATAATCCACAGTTTCCTTGACGCATTTCTCAATAGTGTCGTCGCTTTCCTTAAACTTGCACTTAATATCCGGATTGTTGATCAAATCGTCCAGATAATCCTTATCGGCAGCCAACTCCCTTAAGAGCCTGCTTGGTTTGGAGCTTCTGGATCGGCTCTGGCCTGAAAATGAAGTCGGGCTGACTCGATTGCTCGAATGTTTGGAACTGGTTCCTTTGGAAGAAGAGCCCTTTAGCATAAAGGCGCCGATGGCATTTTCAATGGCTTTCTGGCTCTTCTGCACGCCGAGCTTGAACCCTTGATGGTCGGGCCGAATGTGCAATCCTCTGTGATAAAACATCAAACTGTGCTCAAAGTCGCCCAAATAGTACAACGCTTCTGCTTTCTGATAAATTGCCTTTATGAAAGTTTTATCTACGTGAAGAGCAGTCTCGGCGTCTTTTAACGCATTTTCCGGTTGGCCTAATAAGATATAGCACTTGCTTCTGGCAACTAGGGAATTCTTTTCCGCCGGATTGAGCTCCAGAGCCTGGAACAGATAAGCCGACGTTCTTATTTGATATTTACCCAGAATTATTGAAGGTTCAGTGGGATTTAATATCGGGATTATTTCGTTGGTGTAGACGTTACTGGTAGATATTGCTTTATTTCTTTCGGGTTTACTACAGGATTTTTTGCTTGGTCAATCAAACGAGCGTAAAAATGTGAAAAGTATAAAAATGTGTTTGCTATTTCCGAGTGAAAAAAACGAAATTATTCGATTCTGCACCTTTGACATAAAATCAATGGCAATCGCCAAATCTCCTCGGCACATGCCGTAATTTCCCAAAGCCAGAAACGTGCTGGGTTCGGCCTCTTCGGGAATTTGCAAATTCTTTGACCGGTCCTGCTTCCTTTTGATTCTCAGCGACTGTTTTATGTCTTTCGACCCCAAATTCACTGCAGCCGCCCGATCTTTGTCGCAGTAAATCTCCTGTTGGCGCTGGGCTGTTTTTCTGCGCTTCTTTTTTCCTGCAATCAGTGTGTTAATTAAGTTGCCCTTTTTTAAGTGAGCTTTAAGCAATTTGGGAGTTGCACAAGCTGATTTTGATTGAAAATTGCCGAAAATGGGGGTTTTGCGGATTTTTGTTAATACTCGTTTAAGTGTGTTTAAATAACAAAAAGGACATTTAGTATATCGTGTACCTATATAATAATTCAAACGAGTAACATTTATTTTTTAATTTTTCAACAGTTTTTTCCCCACAAAACTCTTTCTGTTTGAAACAAAGAACATAAATCCCCATGAATCAAGGGTGAAATTGTCACGAAAACGACAGAATAATTTCTTTAAAAAATGTTATCCAGGAGCGCAAAATTTTTGCTTACTCGCTTCATGTCTGAGTTTCAGAGAAGCATTTTTCCGACATCAGTTTTTTCATCAACATGTCAAAAGCCAATCTTTGTACTCTCAAGCTAACTGTATTATTTTCAGTCCTTCTTACCTTTTCTTCTACTACCTTCCTCAGTAATTTCCTTGGATAATCGAGTGCTAGTTTCAGCAGACATCGGAGCCTGCCGAATTCGTTTCTCACCTTCACCGGGCGTTTCACCCTTTGCATCATCAGGCCTTTTGCTCTCATCAATCATTTCGTCTTTCACATTAATGCGAACAAAGCTGTGCAGAAGTTCTGCTTCCCTTGTGATACTGAGCCGTTTGTCGGCTTTGGATCTGCCATTCTCCATGCCTCTGCGCCCTGAAAGCGCCCTGGATTGGTGTTTAAAAGAAACCGAAATTTGTCACGTACCTAAAGTGTCCTCGTATGCTCCAAAGCAAGCAAATGTGTCGGAAAATCACGACCCTGCACTAAAACACACCTTCCTTTTATGGCACAATCGGTTTGCGTTATCTCGCGGAATCGTCAAATTTCCATTTTAAACTTTCGCGATTTTAAATTGCGATTATGGGGTATTTTTAGAGCTGGCCCGATGTCGATTTACTAATTTCCGACTGCCACTGCACAAAGACCAATAGAATAGTCGGTTTATTCGACTTGAAATTGAGAAATTAGCCGCAATAGTTTTAGAGTGTTCTTGAGGAGGTGCTGAAGCTAACACTTATGGTGGTCGTTGCCATGGCAAGGCCCCCAAGGTGTGATCAATGAAGTCGCAGCTCCGTTTTTGTTCAGCAACAATCTTCAGTATCGATTTATTTTAAACGTTTAATCTTTCAGGTCGAATTAAATCTGCCTCCGGAAAATGTTCCCCAAGCCGAATGTTCATATCTGTTTGAAGCATCGAAATGGAAATTCTACGTAAATATTTAAACATTTCCGTAAATAAATCTAAAACAGCTCCTTGGTCGTATGCATAAAGCATAAGCAAAATGTTGGAAGCTGTGACATTAAATGTGTCCTGTTCGTCACGTTCAGTGAGAGAAAATCATTTAAATATTTCAGGATAGCATATTTTGCGACCAGGCGGCGACATTAAATTTAAATGGGTCCTTTCTTGGATTTTAAATAGTTAAGGAGCAGCACACGACCGTTATTTGTGTCAGCTGCTCTTTAAGCTCTGCTGAAAATTTCACAACTTCAGATCTTGACATGGGCCAGCCAAAGTTGAACATAAATTGTTCGATAATTTGCCCAAGTGAAGTTTTGCGCCATTTTCAAGCGAATCTGGATTTTCAAAAAATCTGGTTTTGCCAGAATGCATTGTGATTATTCATTAGATCAACAGAAAAAAATAGTATTTTAAGTTATGTTTTATTAAATTTGTATATTTTAATTGGTTCTAATATAAGTGGCTGAAGATTGATGCGAAGAAAGGCTGAGACCTGGTGTACAAAAAAAACGAAAAGTTTCTGTTGGCAGAAGACAAAAACTTTCGCAACTAATTGCAACAAACAAAATATTAAGAAGTGTAAACGTACAACGATGGAGTGTAAACCAGATACGATTTTTGAAAAAAACTAAAACCTGTGCGAATTGAAATCGAAATGCAGCAAGACGAAAATATAAATATTCATTTTAAAAGCAGAAACTGAAGCGAACTGTAGTCATTCAAAGGTTTTCAAGAGATTTCAGTAAATAAGGAAATGTGGAGAGAGGAACTTCAAACGGTAAGCGACGGACAAAACAGGCGTAAAAATGGGATCAAAATGGGAAAAATTGTCCACAAAATTTGTAATTTTTTATGTGGCAATAAGGCATATTTTGAAAAGAACAGCACAAAGGAAGCAAAATGAATTATATTAAGTGCCGACTTTATTGTAACACGACACCATTGTAATAATACCTGAATTTATTAATTTATAAAAAAATCCTAAATAAGCGAATTCTTTATGTGGATACCGTGACTGCTTATAGAAGAAGTTAAATTACATAGTTAAATAGTAATTAAAACTCAAAATTTTAAATAAAAGCTCAAAAAACCGCTGTAAATACCAGTTAATTTTCTTTCACTAGTTTAAAACGATTTTGTTTTTAATCCACTATCTTACCTTATCAAAGCAGTATAAACTCTTTGGAAGATTGCCTGCTTTCAAGTGACTGTTTGCTTCTTCCTGCCATAACTTCGACTCTTTCTTCAGCCCCGCTCTTTTCACGAACTCTGTTCTCAGCCTTTTCCTGCCGTCGCCCATTGCAATTTTTATCTGGAAACAATTTAAAAACAACTTTAACTTTTGCCTATGCCCGATGCCTATTAAGATAGATACGATTTACTATAGATACGATTAAAATAAAATTATTTTTTCTGGCTTATCCATTACTACACTGGACTCAGGAGGATCAAAGGAAAGTTTCCAAGAAGTTTTTGGCTAATAAATTGACTATCAATTACCGAACATGCACAAAGATTAATGCAAATGAAGAGTTTTCACAAATTGGCTTGAAGTGAAACTTTTCACTATCATCGACCAAATGATTTAAATCGGCATTCAGACCAATATTTGGTATCTATTTCGTGTTCAAATCCCTCTGTTATATAGTTGTGTGCATGTAATCGCAATAAATTATAATGGAAAACGATTTTCTGGCAAACCGCAACGTTCGCTTCGTTTGAATTATTTGCAGGGCGAATTGCAGCGAGTACATAACATCCTGAAAAATGCATTAAGTCGCATAAATATACAGTCGGAATCTTTTCAGGGCGAAAATAAGGCACATATTGCAAGGGTGAAAATGCTTTTTGAACTTGTGAAAAATGCAGCATAGGTTTTAACATTTATTTCGTTTGCATAGGTTTCAGGCCGTAAAGTTGCAAGAAAACTCTAAGGAAATGCATCCTAGTTTCGGTAAATTGAAGAATTTACTGCTGCTGGCAAATTTAGCGTTGTTTCTTCCCTTCAGAATACCGATTTTAAGTTTATGCTCTGGCTTAAATATTTTTCATGAGTAAATCGCCTCCATTATGTGGGTCTTTTTACTTGGACCAATGTTTTTGTGGCAGATTTTAACTCGGCGATTTTACGCAAAAATCGTTTTTGGCTGCCAACTCCATACGTTTATTTGTATAGAACAATATACCTAAGCTTAAAACAAAATATCAATTTTCCTCTCGAATCTAATCAGGTCAATAACCGTTTATCCATTGTTATCGTTGATCATCAAACCGTCGATGTTATAAGCTGTTTATTATTTTTTCCATTGAACTTGCTTGATACCCAACAAAATATAATTTGCTTCCCGGAAATGGAACATCGAATGGAAAAAGTCGAATTTCGCGTATTTTCGACAGAGAAACTTGGCATTGAACCCCGCTATTAGTGCATGGAGTTTTTCCGGTTAATGTTGCTGAACTGATTCAGCGATTTTCTTTAGAGTTCTGATTCGAAACTTAATTGAGAGCGTCGTTAACTCTTTTCAAGAAATCGCTAAAAGGGTCTTTTTAGCGTTTAAACTTTCTCAATGAAAATTGTAATTCGTTTGAATATCGGCGATATCACTTGCATTAGTTTTCTTTTTGGGTTCTACTTTATTGAATGGAACATCCAGAGGTTTAATGTGGATTTTTCCGGAGCATCTGGCAGAACAATTTGAGCATTTTCATTAAGTTTAGAGGCGGTAGAGCTGAAGGTTTCAATTCAACGATCAATTTTAGGTGGATATTTTAAAGATATTTTTCTATGACGTTCTGTGTTTGAGCATTTTTGCAAATTTCTATTTTCAGTATTCAATTGTAACGAAACAAGCGTGAACATGTCAAAAATACTAAGACTAAAAGCATTTTTGTTATAATAGCGGAAATTTTCCTTCCGGCGCTGTATTCAACCTTTTAAAGCAGCGAATCCAAATGGTCGTTTGATTTACACAGGCGAAACCTGCAACTTTATTCGATACTCGATTTTAAATTGATATCGAAAATATAGTGGATATTGATGAATGGTAAAAGGCGGCTAAATGCGTTTCTGTGATATTTATAAACTCGATTATTGAGAATAAATTGGCATCATGTTTATTGGTAAGGTTGGAAGCAGTTAGCAAAAAAGAACGATTTTGGATTAAAAATTTGTGATGCAAACCGCGTGATTGTGCCAGCGGAAGCCAGTGCTAAAGTTAAAAAAGCGCAGGTTTATTGAAAAACTAGCAATTAATTGAATTTTAGTTCATTGCCAAAAGTTCCAAATTTTAGGCTGAACAATTGGTGTGTTTTGAACGAGTTGAAAACCCAAAATATCAAAATCTGTTCGTATTGTCAAATATTTACTCTTCAACTAAGCCAAAAAAAAATTATGCACTTGGAAAATTTTTGAAAAAAATTGAATCCTCCTCCATTCTCCTAATAAAAACAATTTGCAAATTGCGAAACCACTCACGTCTACCATCTATAAATAGAAGCTTACTTACTTGTTTTTTTTTTATTTCCTGAAAAAACCGCACATGCAATTGATTAAAATTGGAATTGGAATGGAAACTTAATCCATGGATTGGCGGCGGATTGTGGCAAACTGATTGCGGAAAACAGTCGTGGAAAGCGGGGTGGCAGTTAAAGCTGAGCCTCAGTCTTCAGGGTTAATCATACAGGTTGTCGCCCCAAAATTAAAGACTATTTGTTCAGTTCACCTCCTAGACGTTCAAGGGTAGCGATAGTTAATTAAAGGCTATTCAGCAGTTGGATATAATTGATGTATTTTGGGTGTTTGAACGTGATCGACCTTCGATCTACTAAATGATTCTTTTGCCTGAGTTTCAAATTGTTGCAACTTTACATTGTGTGAGTTTTCGTGAAAATTAGCTTCTTTTCAAGCGACATTTTCCATTGGGGCTTAGTTATAATTTGCGCTCTCAGATCCGATCAAGTGAACGCCATTAAGTTTGCCCACCATCTATACCATCGATCTGATCCACAAATGCCAAAAGCAAATTCCACGTTAATCACTAATACGAAATTTGCGTGTTCTGCGACATAATTGTCTTTACCATCCTGGTTGCAAACACGCGATTTCCACCAGTTTTATGTTCATCGAATTATGCCTTCGGTCCAATTCCCAATTTGTCGCTAAATAAATGGAAAACTTCTCAATTATTTATGGCTGCCGCTTTAGCTATCGGTGAAAAAGGTCTTTGTTTGCTGTTGCACAATAGCAAGGACAAAATAAGTCTGGAAGGCTCATCAATTTAATTTTGGTGCGCTAATAATCTCTTTGATTAATTGGAAAGCAGTTTTGCAGTCGTGATAATCATAATCAAATTAACTATCAACTTGAATACTTGACTTGAAGCGTTGTACAATAATCTATTGCTAAAACAGGTTCAAGTGAGAGCGACATCCGAAAAAGAAAAGCAATGGCCCACAGTGCAACCAATAAATTATCTAAGATCGGAAGAAAAACTTGTAGAAACACCATGTTTTCTTGAAAAACTATCGTGCGCTTATAAGTTTTACAGTCGATAGCCTGAACTTGACGAACTCTAGTTAATTAAGAAACTATGATCTTTCTCTTGGAAATACAATTTCCAACACTGCCGCTCCTAAAATATGAAACTAGAACATAAATGAAACGAAAATGAATCCAATTTTGACCCGTCGAACGAGCTGGAAATTAGCACTGAGCAAAGTTGAAAATAGTTCTTATTAGATAGAAATTTCCCGACGAGAATTCTCCCCAATTAGCATTAGCAGTTCGTAAAGTTTCCCTAATTAAATTAATTCGGAGCGCTTGAAAATTTCGAAAGCAAGAAAGAGGAAAGGAAAGCGCCGAAGGCAATGTTTATACAAGTTAATTCAAATGCTAAAGATCGGGGCTTTAGGATTCAGAAAGGGGGTTACTTTAACTGGTAGAAGATGCTTTTACATAACCACTTTTACTAATTTCCTTTTCAGGGCCATCATGTCTTAATGTTTTGAGTAATTTTTTACAATTTGGTTTCAATTTCTTGAGTGCTTCAGTTGGAAGGTGCATTTTTTTAGATTAAAACAACCTTATTTAAAGAAATTTAATTTATTAAGTAAGGAATTTTCCCAACATTATGTCCCTACAAATGCAAAAATAGCATGCTCGCTCTTCGCTTTCATCATGCACCTAAACAGTATCCTCAAAAACTACATCGAACTTAACAATTTTATTAGTATGTCGTTCGTCAAAAGCATGCAGGTTTTTATCGGTTTTCAGGCATTCTAGAATAGCAAGAAAAACGTTTGTGAGTATTAGCGCACGTTTTATTTTTTGACCGAATACTGGAAATAATTAAAATTAATTTAACAAACAATTCATTTTTTGCCGATTCCAGTATTCAGTTGAGCTTTCAAAGTAATTCTCAAAAAATAATTGTGCTAGTTGACTAACTTAAAGTTGTATGCCTAGTTATTTGCGTTTCTTCTTCCGATTCCTCAGACTCCGAACTTTCCGTTTCAATATCATCTGTTTTGAAACTCTGTTGACTCAAATTTCCTGCCTCCGGACTCTGATAGTTTTTTATCGTCGGCAAGCTGTTCCGGTACTTGAATTTCTCATTCTCCGGTCGGCTTTTTGGCCCTTGACGGCTTCCATATCGCAATAGGCGATTGGTTTCGGAATCTGGAGGCAAAACCTAACAAAAACCCCTCAAGTAAAGAAATATGAGGAAAAATATTTAAAACAACCACCTGTAAAACTGTTTCCAGCAGTTTTGCATGCTTCTCGGGCGACGTGGGATTTTTAATCACAATCATCGCATTATTCTTCTTTTCCATGGCTGCGTTCTTTTTCATGAGCATTTTCGCTTTTTTGTTGAGCAATTCTTGAGCTTCAGGATAATGGGACAGAGCTTGGTTTAGTGAGGCTTTATCCAGTACGAACAGATTTGAATATCCATAAGATCTAAAATTATAATCAATAATTATATTCAATAATGTGACAGTAWACTAGAGGATATCGRGCGCAAATACGATTTTTTGTCAKTTTTTGTTCCTTATGTGTTTTCATCGATTTATCAAATAGCTGTTCTCACTGTATTCAAATAGTTTTGTTGTTTTCTTCTGTCTTTTCAATTTTKTCAAAAGGACTTTTTTCACTATTTTACTTAATATTGGYAAAAACATTCAGCTGATTTTAAAACTTTTTTGGGGGCATTTTTATATTTCTCATTGTTYATTTSTGGCGTTATTTTATTACTTTCCGTCAAACCGTTTCAACAAAAATTGATTTCTCGTCTTRATTTATGTTGCAASAGTAACATAAATAATTACTTATAGTTCGTTCTTTTGTACATTATTTGYCTTCTATACTCTCTTTATTTYGCTTTTCTCTGTTAAAAATCGTGCSTCTTGTTCACTTTTTAACTTGATAAATGCCTTTTCTACTTGAGTTTTCATTCTCTAAATGACAATGTTGTTTCAACTACTTTTTTCGTTTGCTGTCACTTTACKACTTCCTGGCTGATTTTTAAGCCTAAKYGCATTCTAGTATTTTTCCACTGGGAGTTTATTAGTTGCGTTTTTTYATTCTCTTTGGTAATCATTTAGTTTTTTCTTCAGTTGCATCTTATTTATTTATTTTCTGAGTAACTTCTTATCTGTCRTRCTTCTYCTTTATTTTTATCAAATAAAGGYTTTAACTCCCGMTYTATKGTGCATATKGAAGACTRTTTCATACCATTTCAATTTGTTTGTTCCAGCTTGCTCGGTTTTATTGTCACTTTTTCGCKAATCTCACAGTAAATCAGCTTGTTTTAAGTTCGATCGAAATAGACTTTGTCAGTTTTCTGTTAAATATAAGCTTACAAACMCTGTAAAAAAGACTRAACTAAATATTAAACACTACCTGACATCTGCGGTTCGTCTGTTCATTCCCGGTATGCCGAGCAAACTGATTTCTCCRAAAACACTACCTTCAGATAGTGTTGCTAAAACTTCGGTTCCATTTTTGCCACCAATTACCTGCACTTTTCCAGATTGAATAATGTACATTTCGGTTCCAATATCGCCCTGAAAATATCCACTGAATATATTGAAGTTTTTACAATATKAAGGCAAAAAGTGACRAAGAATTYAAAAAAATTGATAATTASAAAAAATACTCAATTTTTCAGTATAAACGAAGTACAGTACTAGATTTTTCAGTACTGTATTTCAGTACTTCAGAAATTCTTCAGTATAAAAGGAAKAAAATCGAGATAAAAATGAAGTCWAATTGCTCCGGAGCAAYTTTTGCGAGAGTAAAGACATCCGAAGAGTCTTGCTTTAAAGGTCTTCAAGACCTCATGAGGTYCTTCTAGGACTTTCAAAAATTGCCCCTGAATTTTGCRTCATGAGTGGATAGTGTCAATTTTGCTTAATCCTTGTTTGCTTTCTGTTTCTTTCAGTTTCTGCGTTCTTTTTACACCGTTTTATTTTGAGCATTCCTATGTATTGCTTTCCTTAAGAAGTGGAACCCTTGTTAAGAAATACGGCCATCTGCTGCTCGTATTTAGCAGTGAAATTGTCTGTTTCCTACCTTTTTGCATATGATATCCCCCGGTAAATAAATCACACTCTTCAGCTCCAGCACCAATTCCCTTCTGAGCGCCTCATCGCAATCAGCAAACAGCTTCACCTTGTTTAGCGTATTAATGTGAACATTGATTGCAATGTCGGTTTTCATTTTGTGCGGCAAACAGTCCATGATGTTGTTTTCATCTGTAGTTCAAAAGCGGTTCGAAATCGACTTGATTAGTTCCGGGCGCTTCAACTTGCCCAAAGTGTGTTGCGTCTCCCAAGTGTAATTGAACCAAAGCTGCACTCTCCTTTGCATTTCCTGTGGGAGATTCATTCGCCTCATGTACTCCAGAGTTTCATCCACCAATTTCCGATACTCCGTTTTCGATCGGGTTGCTGTCGAAATTATGTCTCTGATTTGCCCGATGAGAAGCGCAAAGACAAACACGCCTGTTGCGAAAAAATAGGAAAGTTAAATGGGAGTTGATCACGTCAAAAGTTACCCATGAGCCAGGAAAAGGTCATGAAGATGTACTCGAGCTCCTGGGATGGTTTGGGGTTTTTGCCGATGGAAGTTGCAGTTTTAGTGGCGAAGTAAAAGCACTTGATGTAGGCGTTGCCTTCGCCGCTGAAGACAAAACTATTGCTTCCAATGCCTTTGGAAGAAAAACTCGTGTGTTTTGCGGGTTTCAATTGGGCCCCATTCACTTACCTTCGAATATGGAGAAAGCATAATACGCACAGGCGTTAAGGTGAATCAAATACATCATGCAGAGAAAAGTCTTTGTGATGCGTATTGTGTACGGATTGGCCAGTCTTCGGTCCACTAAGCTGAAGAATTCCCAAAAAGTGTGCGTTTTGAATAGGCGCGGAAGGCGCAAAATGACCAACTCTGGGCCGACCAGTAAATAGAAAAAGTCCAAAGGAATCAGCGAAAGAACGTCCAGCTGAAATGGCCTCAAAACTTAATCAAATGCCACTGAAAGCACGTCTTCAATTACCTTAAAATGTTTGTTCTTGATGTAGTTTTGCGTGAGCAACATTCGCTCAGTCACCCAGAAGCCTTCGTTCAAATATTTGACTCTGGGCTGAATCAGGACCATATCAATTATGTAAATTGCGTCCGATAGATAGTCGAAGGCCATCCAATAGGGCCGATTCTGCGGTGTTTGGTAAGGGAATGTTGATCTTAGAGGAATCACCTGTTCAGTAACAGAATTCAGTATTTTCCAGGTTCTTAATACAGGCACTCACCCAGGCATTATACAGTAAAGTCAAAGTAACAATACACATCCAGGCTACGTAAGTTTTTCCATTCGGATCAATAATCTGGATGTGGTTTAAGCATCGACCCAAACATCCTGCGGCTGTTATTTTAAACTCCGGCTCATCGTCATCATTGAAGTATTTATCGGAAAACGAAACACTGAGCCTTGGATGGGGATTCACTGGAGTGGTGGGTCCTTCTATATCGGCAGATGAACTAGAAGGCAGCATTAAAAAAGTAGCTTAATTGATTGAGTTTAGTCAGTTTTTTCCATGTCTGTCTATGTTTTTTGATTTTTTTTATTTTTCCACCGCATTTTCGCGGCTTAAGGAGAGCAACTAACAAACAATGGAGCTTGAACG